GGTCTGTTTGTGTATTTTGTTTGTTTCAGTCTGTATATAAAAGACAAGACAAGTCTTTTAAGCTTGATAAATAGATAAATCAGTATTTCTCTTGCTTGTTCTTACAGTTTATCTTGTAAGAGAAAATTTACATTAACAACAAGATTTTCCCTTTCTGTATATGTATATATATATATATTGATATATATATATATATATATATATATATATATATATATATATATATTTTTTTTTTTTTTTTTTTTTTTTTTTTTTTTTTTTTGTTTTCTTTTCTTTTTTTCTTTCTTTCTTTTCTTTTTTTTTTCTTTTCTTTTCTTTTTTTCTTTCTTTCTTTTCTTTTTTCTTTTTTCTTTTTATATTTCTTATTTATTTAACCATTTTATATTTTTGAGGGGGGAATCTACTGTTATTGATGTTAATGCTTTTGATATGATTATTTTAATGTTATTAATAATACTAATATTAACAAAGGAATAAAAAATCATAATTCTAGAAATCAAGGAAAAAGGTAAACAAATGAGATAGTTACAACTAGTAATTGTCTCCTTTGTGTAAATACAACTAATAAACTACCTTAATGCAACCTCTCCTCCGTAGGGCCTGTTTCCATCGTGCCACTCGTGGTTGCAGAGCGAGGTGGAATATCGGCAGGAGGACCAGATTACCACCGTTGTGCCTGAGATCCACTCCCATCAAGAGATTCAGCTCTACCAGAAAGTGGAAGGCTCTGAATATTATAGGTCTGTTTTTTCGAGAGGGCTTTTTGGGATTTTTTTCTCATTCTCTCTTTTCCATTGGGTCTAATCATCCTCCAAGAGCTTTGTGCACTCATGATGAGTTATTCCTGTCACTCTTGCTTTCATCAGAAGTTTTCATAACAACAGATTTCCATCACCTCAAGCCTCAGTGGGGTGATGATATTTTGATGTCATTTTTATGACATTTGTTATTGATATCAGTATGTAGGACTATCAAGATAAGGCAGCTGCAGGAACCTAGGCTCTGCAAGAGACTGTGAAAATAAAAATTTGTTTTCCTGTATTTGTCATTGTTGCTATGACAAATCAAATCACAGTTATATCATATTTGAATATGTAATCTTGTAATTTGAGGCATATCATAATATTATGCATTTTCAGGATTAATTAAAAGCAAGCATCCAAAGTTGCGTTGGGGGCAACCTTCAGTCTTGGTGACCCTGATATTATTAATGTTGTATTTTTATAATTATTGTTACTATTACTTTTTATGATAATGGTCATCTTTATCATCTTTAGCTCTCTAGACTCAACTGGAAACAAAGTGATGACCACAAACAAAAACAGTCTGTGAATACAACACCTAAGAGCTCTATTTTTTTGTAGATTTTATGTGCCGTCGTCTACATGGCTTGTGGTTGTGAATATCAGCAAATGCGTTGTGTTGGATGAGGGAGAAGGGTCTCCTTCTTGCCCCATAGATGTAGGCTTCCGAACAAGAGCCTTGCCTGACCCAAATTCTACAGACACAGTGTACGTATCTTTAGATCTTTTGATTAATGTTAAATTGACATGAAATTTAGACTTTAACTTTAGATATAACGTTATTCTTGTTAAAGTTCTTTGAATCCATATCTAGATTATGCAAATCACTGGTGGTGATCAATATTATGATTCATGTTGTTTATGATGATTGGAAATTTGATATAAGAAAGAAAGATAGCTTCATGGATCTCTTCATAGAGATTAGGATAATAAGAAATTCAGTTTAAAAGAGAATGCTTGCTGTACTTCTCTCTAGGGTTCACAACTGTGCTGATGATGGTGAAGTGTGCACGGTTGAGGTCGTCCCCGAGGAAGAGGCATGGCACTATATTCAGCTAAGTACCCATCAAGCTGCTGTCCAGCTCAGCATGGCTGTCAAATTCTATAGTAAGTGGTTCAGCCCTTTAGGCAGTGATGTTATTCTATTGTTTGATATTCCATAAATTGGTTTATAGATATCAATTGGCATAATATAAAAAAAAATCTGTCACTTTCCAGTGTGTGATGAACCAGGTGGAAGCAGTTACCACCTGCTGAGTCGATTGTACCTGAACCAGCTGTGCAGTGAAGGGAGCAGCATACAAAACCTCCCACTGATGTCCAATGACACAGCCAATGAGGTAAACAGCACAACTGAATCAGAAGAGAATGCTGACAATATGGAGTCACGTCGCATTCTGTTCATGCCGTCAGTGAAGAGAAAGAGGAACCTGCAAGATAGTTGTTGGCCGAGGTTGGTTGGTTGTCTGACATGTTGCTGTCTTTAGAGAGTTAACTTTATTGAAGAGAGGAAGGGAGGGGATTTGACCATCTGTTTATTCAGATACACATGCATGTACACACACATGCATACATGTTCTTGATAAGATTTTGTAAGTGATCTTGTTTTAACTAAAAGAAAGGAGGAAAACTGGATCAAAGGGAGTTAGAGATAGAGGGAAAAAAAAAGAGAGAAAGCACAGCTATTTATGAATAGACATACATATTTATATATACACACACTTTTTGTATGCAAGTATATGGATATAAAAAGATAATTTTTTTCCATGCACTTTCCACCAGGCATAATTTAGTGAAAAAGACATTCGGGGGGAACTTTGTCTTCGAATTTGACCTTCCGCCAGATGAGAATGGATCAGTTCCCCTCCTACTGAATATCACCAATGACTCCCCTACCCTTCTCACCTTCAACTTAGAGCCCATCATAGACATTGGTGGAACACTTTCTGTGGAGCTGGCTGTTTCCCCATTCATGGTGAGTAACTGTTGATGCTGCCTGCTGGTCTGTGATGGGTCATCTTGCTTAAATGGAGTTCTTTAGGGTGACTGTTAGTGTAGATATGATTGTAGATGATTTTTATTTGTATGATATTAGATTTTGTTCATTATTGATATTAACATATTACTGTTAGTGTTGTTTTTGCCGTTATTTACATTGATGATGATGTTATTATTATAATTGTCATTTGATATTGTTATTTTGATCACTGATGTTATGTTAATTATTTCTTTTATGGAGCTTGTTTTTATGGGTAATTGTTAATGTTATTATTATGATCTCTATTAACCCCTTGGTGCCGGGTATGACGTGTACGTACGTGCTATGCCCACAGTGAGTACTTGTTTGTTGTTACGCATAGATGGCAACACTTGTACTAACTCCCCAATGAGCCAGTTACGAGCACCGCCTGTCTCGCCCGTTTACCCGTTTCTTTGATTTACAAAATATTTTACGTAATCTTATTTTGCTGTTACTAATGTTAAAAAGAATTATAAAATTATAATGTTTATGATGAAAATAACACCATCGATTTTCGTAGCACTAGTGAAAAGATACGTTTTTCCCGCCATTTAAATCAGGCGGTAGCAGAGCCATCTATCGGCAGACATTTCACAAAAAACATTTTCCTTATTTTTTGTTCATTTTCCCCGGCACCATTGGGTTAAGTCCCACAGTTTAAGAACATTTATAATCATACAGGTCAAAACTTATAGTGAAAATATTGTATAAATGTATCTCAAGCATAACATATATCCTTGTTACAAATGCCCTCCTTCCATGCTTCCTCCACAGAACATAACTCTCCACAACTTCACTGTGGATGCTTGCGTGAGCCATGGCAAGCGCAAAGAGCCAAACCTTGATGTAGATGCTGAGTTCAAGTGTCCTCGAGGTCATGGCCTCCACGTCAACACCTCAAGCCTGTCCGCAGCTGCCACGTCAGTCCTGATACCGTTCCCTGAGCCTGGGCCTTGGTACCTAACACTCCGTTCAGGTTGCTACCTTTCCAATGCAAGGTTAGTGGGTGGGTGCATAAGACCCTCTCTGTTACTGTATTTCTGATTTGGGTTTTCTGTTGGGGATTGTGTATACTCTCTGTGATTGTAGTTGTGATATAATTTCTGTCCATGATGAAATCTGCTTTCTTGCTTTCTTTGCCCTTATGTCTGTATTTTATATTTCATGGTATTTCTAGTTTTTTTTTGTTGTTGTTGTTGTTGTTTTTGGACCTTTTCTCTCTCTGTTGGATCTGTGTTTCCTGTGCTTCGCACTATATGACAATGGAATCATTTAATGTTATTTTTTCGTGGGTTGAATTCTGTTCTAGGAGTGTTTTTACATAGAAAGGAATGACTAAGAGCCCAGTATAGAGAGGAAGAAAACAGAAAAATAATATAGTGTAGGTTCAGTAACTTTTCTCTATTTTTCTCACTTTACCTCTTTCAGTGAGGTGACAGAATGTACTGTTAATGAGACTACAGTGCTCTTCAGCATCACTTCAGCCTCGTGTCTGCATGGGAAATGTGGCAGATACGGGTCTTGCTATCAATATATTTCTGGGGGCTTCATATTTTCTACTTGTGTCTGCGATGCAGGTATGTTGGAATTTAGATGAACGTTTTTTTCCTAGGAATTATTTACTGGTATTGGAATTGTCGTTAATTATTTTTATTATCATCATCCTTATTATTACCAGTATTAATAATATCATTATCTTTGTCATTGTTATTATGATACATAACTCCTTTCCTTTTTTTTTTGTCACATGATGTCGCTCATTTAGAAAACAGGAACACCATGTACATTTTCTGAATTTAATTTGCAGGCTACCGTGGGTGGGCATGCACAGACAAATCTCAAGCCATGGCTAATTGGCAACTGATCCTGGCTACACTGCTGCTAACGCTGTCAAATCTGTTCTTCCTGCCGGCAATCATCTTGGCACTGAAGCGACGATACTTTGCAGAAGCTGTGGTGTATGCCTTTACCATGGTTTTCTCAACGGTAATTTATTTTCAGGGAAAATGTAGATTTGCTTGTAAAGTGTGTCTTTTCTTTTTCTGTCTCCCTCTTTGTATTTTTTGTCTCTTCCTGTCAGTTTGTAAATTTGTTCCTTTCTTTTCTTTTTTTTTTTTTTTTTTGCCACTTATTATTGGTATTATTTTGTTATCTTTTGCTGGGGGAGAAATATCCCTTAGTATTTTGTATATTGATTTTTTATCTCTCACTGTCAATTTTTTTTGTCTGTATCCACCCTTCCTTTTTTCTACTACTCTAGCAAAAGAAGAGTATTTGTCTTAGAACTACAGAAGTAATGTACTGAGTGTTCTCATTACTGATATCTGAAATTCTTTTATTGAATAGGGTAGTTTTCTTTTAATCTCATAAGATAATAGTAAGTAGCTGTAAAAGCTTTATAATAAGACCGGAATATGAGATTATAACATATGATAGTGGAAGTTACTGTTAATATATATATATATTTTTTTTCATTAGCCACAGTGTAGAATAAAACAGCCAACCACACAGACAACCCAATAAATTGCTCCTCCCATCTCCTGTCTTCCCATGCAGTTCTACCATGCTTGTGACCAGCAGCCATACAACTTCTGCCTGATGCGCTTGAGTGTCATGCAATTCTGCGACTTCTATTCTGCCATCCTCTCCTTCTGGGTCACCCTCATCGCTATGGCTGACCTGCCCCACTCGCTCTACTCGTTCCTCCACGTGGCTGGTGCTCTGGTGAGACTCTTGTTATTATTTGTTTTGTTTTTTTCAATTTTTACATTATGGTAATTAGGTAGCAGTTATTTCTTATGGATATTGATTATTTTGTCCATCTGCTTAATTATTCTTCATCACATAACAAGTCATTTCCAGCCACTCCAATTATTCTGGTTTTGATTATTACAAACTGCTACCTGTTATTAGGTTACCATTAGGAGGCCAATACTTATAAGTTATCATTAACCATAAATGGCCATTTACTGTTAACTAACTAAACCATTAACAATCACGTACTATTAACCCAATGGCGCCGGGTGAACAAAACAAAAAAAAAACTCTACGCTTAAACAAACAAAGGCGGCGCGCCGACTTTGAGCGCGTGAGTAGGGGACATCAGCCCGAATCACTGGCTCGCCGCGTTTTGGCGCGCCGCCGGCTCGTTTGGCTGCACGCCAGTTTTCGAGCTCTTTGTTTACATGCCGATCGGCGTCACCCAGCACCAAGGGGTTAATAGCCCTCAATTATTAAGAGACCACTAACGACCAGTGACCCTTAATAAGCAAGAGCCCTATTCTTTCAGGTGGTTGCCTTGGGAGTGGAGTATGACCGAACTGGACTGTGGGTGTTTGTTGTCCCTTCGGCCTCAGCCTTCTTGATAATGGTCGCCTCATGGGTGAGTTGCATGTGCAGTAATTTTGGCGTCATTGCCTTATCTCTATTTCCCCCCTCCCCCCTTTGATGTCTTTATTTCTCATATTTCTTTTTACCCACTTTCCTTCATCCTGTTCTTTCATATTTCCTTTTTTCCTCCTCCTCCTCATCCTCCTCTCCCTCCTCTCCCTCCTCTCCCTCCTCTCCCTCCTCTCCCTCCTCTCCCTCCTCCTCCACCTCCTCCTCTACCTCCTCCTCTACCTCCTCCCCCTTCTCCTCATCCTCATCTTCATCCTCATCCTCATCCTCATCCACCTCCTCCTCCTCCTCCTCCTCCTCCTCCTCCACCTCCTCCTCCACCTTCTCCTCTACCTCCTCCTCCTCCTCCTCCTCCTCCTCCTCCTCCTCCTCCTCCTCCTTCTTTTCCTTTGAGAAGATAGGATATATGATAGAAATGATAAGGCTCTATGAAAGACTTGAATTTATCCATCAATCATTTCTTTCAAAAGACTCAAAGGACGCTTAAAAAAAAATCCCCCACTGGACATTCAGAGAAATCAAGAGATAAGGAATTCACAAATAAGAGTAATAATGATAGTAACAGTGATAATGAAAAGATATTTCTTCTTTCAGGTATGGCACTGCAAACACCTGCACAGCTGCTATCCAACCAAATGGTACTGGCTGACGTGTCTTCTGCCGGGAGTGCTCCTCTCCGCCACTGGCCTCTTCTGCTACGCGTTCCTAGAGACCCATGACAACTACTACTATGTGCACTCGGTGTGGCATGCGACTATGGCCCTTGCGATCCTCTGCCTTTTGCCTCCGCGGAGAGAGAAAGATGGTAGGAGTCTTGCCTATCAGGGAAGGTGTAATTTCTGCAGTTAGAGCACTGAAGAAGAATAGAGTTTACCGTACCTTTTGAGAATATTGACACAAGCACAGCACAGTAATTTTTTTTTCTTATTTTCCTCTTTTTAAAAGTTTTTGTCACTGACTTTTATATAATTTTGTTTGGTTTAGCTTTGAAGTTTTATTTTAACGAGAACATTTTTCTTTATTTTATATTTTTTTATCGTTATTATTTCAGGGTGTATTTTTATTCAGTCTAGTCATGATATTTTCAAAGATACTGTCTAGTCAGCAACAAGGATGACAGTTATTATTGATTTGATATATATATGTGTGTAAGATCTGAGTCAAATATCAACATACAGTTGGTGCATTTAATGTATTTCTGCATAAGTTCTGATGAAGAAGAATAATTAGAAGATATATAGTACATTTACACACTCATATGTGCATGGACAAGCATGATACACTCACACTTTAGAATAATATTTGGACATACGTCAGGTGTGTGTCCAAACAGATGAGCATATAAATATATATTTTTTGAGTTTGATTTACATGTGAGTATAATGTAATTGTTACTCTTGTAATTAAGCTATTATTACTCCAATTATTCTGATTTTGATTATGATATTGATAAGGATAATAGTAATAATGATAATAACAATAATGATATTGATGATAATAATATTAATTGTATTAATAATTATTATAGTAATAATGATGATAATAGCAATGATAATAATAATAGTAATGATAAAAATAATAGTAATGATAATGATAATGATGAGGATGATAATAACAAAAATGCTGATAATAATAAATCATTATCATTATCATCATTATCATTATCATCATTATTATGATGATAATTCTTACTATTGTTGTTATTATCATTATTATTGTTATTATTATTATTATTGTTATTATTATTATTATTATTATTATTATTATTATTATTATTATTACAAATATTATTATTATGGTTATTATGATAATTATTATTAATATTATTATTGCTTTGTTATTATTATCATCATTGTAATTATCATTATGGTTATGATTAGGATTAGCATTACTATACTTTGTTGCATAGCCTTTTGAAAATAATATTCTAATTTCCGCTTCACAACCCCCATGTGAGCACTGACTGAGCATCAGTTTTGAATGACATATTGGTAACACCCTCCCCCCCTCCCCCCCCTTCCTTGGTGCATCTTGATTCTGATGTGAATTGCCCTTTTTTTTCTTTTCTTTTCTTTTTTTTTCTTTTTTTTTATTTGAAACTTTTTCAGAGAGAGGCGATGGTGAGGAGGTGGAGCCACTGCCCGTTTGCGAGGCCCAGCCCCACTTTATAGAGGCACAGGTGTACTCTCCCGTCCCCTAGGCCAACCGACCCAAAAGTCTCGCTCGTCCCCCAGATTCCTATGCGTTGATTTTGCCCCATGTGTGACCTTCCTTCCTTCCCTGAGCTTCCCCTGACCTTCCTCGACCTTCCCCGACCTCACCCATCCTTCCACGACCTTCCCATTTCCTTCCCTTGACCTTCCCCGACCTTTCCCAACCTTCCCCATCCGCCTCTTTCCTTCCCTGACCTTTCCTGACCCTCCCTTCTGACGGTATCCCTTGCCACTTCTGCACCACATCCTACTCTACCTTGTCTGTCTCTTGATCTTTCGCCCTCATCTCTGCTCTGTTTTCCTCCCTTTTCTGCTCTCCATATTTGCCTCATCCCCCTCCCCCCCCTTTCATTCTCACATTCCCAGTTCTTGCTTTTCATTTTATCAAATGGATAATAGGCCATTGGATACTGGGTGTTGAATTCATGCCGCAAATGGTAATGATTATATCTAGCGCATTCATAAACTTTATGGAATTATATTGATTTTTAAACATACTGATACATAATTTTCTTGAACATAATATCTGCATGCACGCAAGCACACACACACATGTGCACATGCATGCACGCACACACACACACACACACACACACACACACACACACACACACACACACACACACACACACACACACACACACACACACATATACACACACATACCCACACATACCCACACATACCTATCCACCCAACCACCCAGACACACACACACACACACACACACACACACACACACACACACACACACACACACACACACACATATACACACACATACCCACACATACCCACACATACCTATCCACCCACCCACCCACACACACACACACACACACACACACACACACACACACACACACACACACACACACACACACACACACACACACACACACACACACACACACACACACACACACACATACACACACACACACACACACACATACACACACACATATATATATATACATATACATATATATATATATATATATATATATATATACACATGAACCGTATTCATGTCGACGAATGTAGAAAAGGTATGAATGAGAATGAGTATCTTCACAATACAAGAGATGTATTTGACCGGTTTCGAATTATATCTTCATATATATATATATATATATATATATATATATATATATATATATATATATATATATATATATATATATATATATATGCAAACCCCCCCCCCCCCCCCCACACACACACACACACTCAAATATACATACACACATGCACATGCATACATTTAACAGATTTTTTAAAAGTTGACATGTAAATATTTATCAGCTGTTTCCTTTATTGTTCATGTCACAACTGAATGTTACTTTAGTATTAAAACTAAATATTTGTAAAATAGTAACAGACTGTGGTGGGCTCTCACTTGTGAACATTTTCTACTACCTCATATAATTAAAAAGAAAAAAAAAATAAATCTCTTTCTCTGTGAAACTTCAGTTGGTCTCAGCGCTACCTAGGACTAAGTTTCTGTAAACTCATGTCTTCATTTCTTGCCTGCGTTAGTTTTGTATTTGGCTCAGCTGATAGTTTAGAATGAACATGCCAGGTATAACAGTCACAATTTCTGTATTAATATAATAAATAAGAAGTGAAGACTGTTCACATGTCTATAAAAAAAAAAATTTAGTGTGTAAGCTACAGTATTTTGTAGATGGAAGAGTACAAATTCCCATATTTTGTGCATTTTTATATTTTGTTCTTTTGTAGAGTAAGTATGATAAACTCAGTATTAGCTTGTCACTGAAATATACTTGTGAGAAGGTTAAGGATATTAGTATTTAGAAGGTACTCAATTTTTTATTTTGCTCTTTTTGTTAGTATGTCATATACCCAAAAGAAGGAACAGCTTATTCATAAACTATTACTAAAAAATTTACTAACACGTACTAAAGTATCAGGAGTGTTGCCCCCCAATCCGCTAAAGATTTTTTTCTGCATCCTGTGTTCAAAACGAACCTTGATCTGGCTGGGTCGGTCACCACGGTTGGCAGGCCTCCTCACCAATGGCTTTCGGTATGTCTCCACCCTCTGACAGACAATTTTCATCCTAAATTCCAGGCTTCCTCTCTGTGACCCACCCAACCTCGGAGCCTAACCTACAGGCCTACAGGATAACCACTTTGCATGCTTCCTCACCCTAATGTGGAGTGGTTTACCCCCTTATCCTCCATGAGCTCATAGAGGGCAGACGGTGCGGCCTGGCTCACTCATCCTTTCCCGTGACACCACTCGGCTTGCATGGCTTGTAGGAGGAATCTCTCCTTTCCCGCAGGTGGTGGAGGGGTCAGGTAGTCAGGCCTTTTTGCCTTGTCTCCCCTAAAAACCTGCATCTCTTGGAGGTGGCTTGGCTTCTCTTGTGTGGTGGTGCTAACACTGCGTTTTTGTTCTCCAGTCTCCCTGTCTTTTATGTCTCATACTTACCTCTTTGTTTTCTTACTCCTGTGCCCTGGTGAAATAACTTAATTCATCAGAAGCACTCTCTTTCTTTCTTTCTTCCTTCTTAATTCTTCTCTCTAACTTCTTTGTCCTCTCTCTATTCTCTGTCCCTTCTGTTATCTCTCGCATCACTCTCCTCTCCTTTCCTCTCCCTTCTTGCTGCTCTCAGTCTTTACATTCTACCAGTTACTAACCCTTCCATTAAAACCAATCTTTTCTGTACTTCACCTACACAAAATAAAATCTCCAAGTGAAGTGTTTTCATTATGGCATAAGAATTTTATTCGCAGGAAGATCCAGCATGTAGACATATAAGTGAAACTGTAAAAATGTATCTGTTGTTTATTTTTAGATTCAAAACATTTTCAGTCAAATAGAAATGGTCATTTGCTATTTACTGCTTCATTTTTAATAGGAGTTATGGCCTCTTTTGTATTTATTGTACATAGAGAAAAATGCTTAGAATTAGGAATATTTTTTCTGCCAGTACGTGCACAAAGTACCATCTTGGGTACATCGATTGCAGCAGCTGGACCTGTCTTATAATGAGGCCAACAAAGAATTTAACAAGATGCCAAAATGAGAACAGACAAGTAACTGTTTAGTACCCAAAGGCTAAAAAGTACAATGTGTGATGTAATTAGCTATTTTGAGCTTTCATGTAACATATAGGTATTAAAAAATAAGGGACTCAGGGAGACAGAAGGGTGAAAGTTGAAGAGTTGATGCCCTAAGTTTGATTGCAGTCCTCCCTCCCTCCTCCCTTCCCTACCCCCATTTTATAAAGTACAGCATAACCAACGCAAGTCTTGTCATCACAAGCAACATCAGAATAGCATATGTCATCACACATATCTGTTGTCCATCTTTGGTCTCAATAGTGTTCAATGAACATTCCATCCACAGGCTTGCTTAACCCAGACTAGTTTAGTTGCTTGGAAATGTTAGCATAAGAAGGAATGGATGTAGGATGACAGCATTGTCTTTTTTTTTCTCTCTCTTCCTCTCTCTTTTTTCAGTTAGATCAGTTGTTTGTAACTTGGCTGCAGATCCAAGACCTAGGTAATCTGTGAGCTGCAGGATTTACCAGCAAAGATTTTCTCTTGCTATTTACTAACGTCTGAACTGCTTTATATCTTGCTAGTCTGAAAAAATGAATGGATTGATCGGGAGGCTTTTGACGCAGCCGGCATTTTGGATTTTTGGAAACGTTGACACGTTGCCTACAATTGGTGTTTTGGTGTCTGTAGTGGACTTTTAGAAGATATTGCCTAATAGATGTAGTTTTCTACTTATGATTTATACATTTTCCTTGTAAACAAAGAAGAAAGGATAAATAGGCCTGCAGTTTCGACTGTGATTTTACTATGGTTATCATTTTCTAGATATATACAGAGATTTATATTGTTGTTTGTAGACACAGCCAAAGCTGAAAGAGTGTATGTCTCACAAATTACAGTATACTTTGTAGTCATACTGATGAAATGTAAACGTGTTACGTGTGTGTATAACTGAACAGAAAGTATGAGTTTAATCTTTATATGATAAGTTCCACCAATACTTTATTTCTGTATGCTTTCTGGTTGCCTG